TTAAAACACATAGCGCTAAGGGGAGCAAACATATTAAGAACAGTATGCTACATACGCCAGGTCCCTTGAAACATATGCTGTGCAGACATTTCTTCTCTGCAGCGACTGTGTCAAGCAGCAAGGATGGACCGGCTCCCGGCATCAAATATTAATTGACTGTAATGGTGTGGGTCAATTTCTGGGTCCCTGTTCTGATCCATTGGTCAATATGCCTGTTCTTGTGCCAGTACCAGGCTGTTTTGGTTATAGTGGCTTTGTAGTAAAGTTTGGTATCCAGTATTGTGGTCCCTCAGGCTTTGTTCTTCTTTATCAAGATTGCTGCAGCTATTCGGGGCCTTTTATGGTTTCATATAAATTTTTGGAGTATTTGTTCTAGTTCTGTTAAGTATGCACTTGGTATTTTAATAGGGATTGCATTGAATCTATAGATTGCTTTGGGTAATATAGACATTTTAAAGATGTTAATTCTTCCAATCAATAAACATTGTATACGTTTCCATTTGTTTGGATCATCCTCTACTTATTTTTTCAATCGTCTATAGTTTTCCAAGTACAGGTCTTTTGCTCCTTGGTTAAGTTTATTCCTAGGTATCTTATCTTTTCTTTTTTTTTGTGCAGTGGTAAATGGCATTGTTTTTTTTAGTTTCTCTATCTGAGAGTTCATTATTGGTGCATAAAAATGCAATCGATTTCTGGATATTGATTTTGTATCCTGCTACCTTGCCGAATTTATTTATTAAGTCTAGTAGTTTCCTGGTGGAGTCTTTTATTTTGTTTATGTGATGTATCACAGTGATTGATTTGTGAATATTGTACCAGCCTTGCATACCTGAAATAAATCTCACTTCATCATGGTCTATGATCTTTTTAATATATTCCTGGATCTGATTTGCTAATATTTTGTTGAGCATTTTAGCCTCTATGTTCAGCAATGATACTGGTCTGTAATTCTCTTTCTTTGTAGTGTCTTTATCTGGTTTTGGAATTAGGATAATGCTGGCCTCATAAAAAGAGTTTGAAAATTTTCTTTCCTCTTTGATTTTTTGGAGTAGTTTGAGGAGTATAAGTATTAGTTCTTCTTTGAGTACTTGGTAAAATTCTTTTGTAAATCCATCCAGTCCAGAACTTTTGTTTGTTGGAAGTTTTAAAATTACTGCTTCAATTTCCTCAGCTGTTATTGGCCTATTCAGGTTTTCTGATTCTTCCTGATTGAGTTTTGGAAGATTGTTTCTAGGAATTTGTCCATTTTGCCCAGGTTGTCCAATATATTGGCATATCGTTGTTCACAATATTTGCTTACAGTCTTTAGTATTTTTGTGGTGTTTGTTGTTATATTGCCTCTTTCATTTATGATTTAATTTATTTGGGTTCTCTCTCTTTGTGTCTGCTAGGGGTTCATCAATCTTGTTTAACTTTTCAAAGAACCAGCTCTTAGATTCATTGATTTTTTGTACTCTATGTCATTTATTTCTGCTCTGACCTTTATTATTTCCTTCCTTCTACTTCCTCTGGGCTTTTCTTGCTGTTCTCTTTCTAATTAATTTAGTTGTAGGTTAGATCGTTTATTTTAGCTTTTTCTTGTTTCTTTAGATATGCCTATAATGCTATGAACTTTCCTTTCAAGACTGGTTTTGCTGTGTCCCATAGGTTTTGGGTGGTTTTGTGTTCATTTTCATTTGTTTCCAGGAAGTTTTTAATTTCTTGCTTGATCTCATTGGTAATCCATTCATTGTTAATAACATGCTATTTAGTGTCCATGTATTTGAGTTTTTTGTAATTCTTTTTTTTTGTAGTTGATTTCCAACTTCATGCCATTTTTTGCCTTAATATGTGGTCTATATTTGAGAATATTCCATGTGCCCTTGAGAAGAATGCATATTCTTTTGCTTTGGGGTGAAATGTTTTGTAAATATCAGTTAAGTCCATTTAATCTAGTGTGTCATTTAAAGCCTCTGTTTCCCTTGTTGATTTTTTTGTCTGGAAGAGCTATCCAGTGATGTCAGTGGGGTGTTAAAGTCCCCTACTATGACTGTACTGCTGTCAATCTCTCCTTTGAAGTCCATCAAGAGTTCTTTTCATGTATCTGGGTGCTCCTATATTGGGTGCATATATGTTTACAAGGGTTACATTTTCTTGTTGAATCATCATTCCCTTTAGTATGATGTGGTGGCTTGTCTCTTGTTATGGCCTTTGTTTTGATGTCTATTTTATTTGATATGAGTATTGCTACCTCAGCTTTTTTTTGTTTCCATTTGCTCTGAATATTTTTTTCCATCTCTTCACTCTCAGTCTATGTGTAGCTTTTGTCTTGAGGTGGGACTCCTGTAGACAGCATATATATGGGCCATGTTTTCTTATCCATTCAGTCACCCTATGTCTTTTGACTGGAGCATTTAATCCATTTATATTTAATGTTATTATTGATAGGTATTTATTTATTGCCTTTTTTATTTTCTTTATGCCTATGATCCCCTCTCTCTCTCCTTTTCTTCTTAAAGCTATTGCTTTAACCTTTCTTGCATTGCTGGTTTGGTGGTAATGTATTCCTTTAACCTTTTATTTTTGGTCTGGAAAGCTTTATATTTCATCTTTGGTTTTAAATGATAGCCTGCTAGATACAGTGGGCTTGGATTTAGGCCCTTGCTTTTTATTACTTTGAATATTTTATGCCATTCCCTTCTGGCATGAAGTGTTTCTATTGAGAAGTCAGCTGAAATTCTAATGGGAATCCTTTGTAGGTGATTTTTTATCTTTCTCTTGCTGCCTTTAAGATTCTTCCTTTGTCTTTAATGTTTGCCATATTTAATTATGATGTGTCTAGGTATGGGTCCCTTTGGGCTCACCCTGATTGGGACTGTCTGTGCCTCCTGAACTTGTATGATATTTTCCTTCATTAGGTTGGGGAAGTTTTCTGTCATTATTTCTTTAAACAGGTTCTCTGTTCCTTGGTCACATTCTTCCCCTTTTGGTATTCCTATAATGTGGATATTGTTATGTTTCATCTTGTCTCAGAGCTCCCTTGAGTTATCTTCCTGCTTTTTAATTCTTATTTTTAATTTGCTGCTCTAATTGTGTATTTATATCTATCTTGTCTTCCAACTCGCTGATTTGATTCCCTGTTTCATTAAATCTACTTTTAATTTCTTCTAGTGTGTTCTTGATGTCAGATATGTTATTCTTCATTTCTATTTGGTCTTGTTCATGGTGTCTATTTCATTTCTCATGTTGCTATAGTTCCCACTGAGTTTCCTGTAATTTGCACTAAGCTCCTTATGCATCTTTAAAAGCATTACTTTTTAATCTGTGTCTGATAGGTTGTTTACCTCCATTTCATTGAATTCTTTTTCTGGAGATTCCTTTTTATTCTTTCATTTTGGGGTTGTTTTTTTTGTTCTCCCCAGTTTAGCTGTCACTTTGTATTTGTTTCTGTGTTTAGATAGATTTTTATTCCTCCCAGTCTTTGTGGGGTGGTGTTATGTAGAAGGTATCTTGAGGGGTCCAGTGGTGCAGTCTCTTTGATCTCCTGAGCTGTCTGCTCTAGGAATGCCCTTTGGGTGTGTTATTTGGGCTCCCCTGTTGTAATTGGAACTTGGTTGTTGATGTTCTGTTCATGGGAGGGATCTTCCCTCCAACTTTCTGCCAGTGAAGCTCAACCCCAACGTTGTCATGCCAGCTGTTGTACAGGTCCTGACAGAACAGAACAAGATACAACAGGGCCAAACCAAAAACACCATAAAAATCAAGATACTCAATGCAACAACAGGAAAGACTAAGAAGGAAAAAGAAGAGAAAGCAAAGCAAAGAAAAAAATAAAAAGAATACTAAAAGACACATGACCAAAAACTTAGAGGAGTTATAAATAAAAAGGGAGAAAGAAGAAGAAGAAAATGGCTATATGGAAGCAAAACGAACTAGTATAGGAGGAAAAAAGG